GATGCCGTGATCCCCCGCGGTGGCGAGATGGAGCCGGAGCAGCATCAGCGGACGGAGAAGATCAGCGCGGGCCTCCTCGGGGTGGAGAGTAATAGAGCAGGAGCCGCTGAGGACACCACACAAAATGGCGGACGCTCTGAGAGCAGTAGCACTGGGGAGGCGCTGCTGGTGGCTGCTGTTGCTGCAGAGGACAAGGTCCCCCCAAACCTCAGCATCACTAGCAGCAGCCAGCGCAGGAGCAGCATCTCAACGGCAAATGAACAACAACAGCAGCAACCGCCCAGCGGTGTGTTGGGGGGGCCTCCCCCTCTCCCTAAGCCCCCAGAAGACCTGCCTGTTAGGAGGAACTTTCAGATCCCCAGGAAGAGCAGAGAAAAGAAAGGTTGTTCCTTCCCTTTCCCTCCCTTCTCTCCCTCACTCCCCTCTTCATCTGATTCATTAGGCAGGCTCTTTATGCACCTCACACAACTGCATGCAAAATCCTGCGGGTGTGGAGGAGGCTGTGGCATGGCTCGGACTAGTGAGGCTGCTGGGGATAGGATTTTTAGTGTCAGGCTTTTACATTCTTTCCTCTCCCTACCCCTCCCTCTTTTCTTTTTCGTTTTTATTTTGTCACAAGGAGGAGAAAAAAAACCCCAAAAACTCGGCTTGAATTTCAGACCGTTGCTTTAAAGAGACGGAAAAGCTGGATGTGATCAGGGTGGGCTTGAGTGTTGATCCTGGCTCCGCTTCTGGAGATGCAATCGCATGCAGAGAAGATGGTTCTGGGACACGGATGCGCAGAGAAGATGGTTCGCTTTTCTCTTCCCTCTGACCTCCTCTCTGCAGGAGAGGGGTGTAATCCTGTTTAGGGTAGACTAGCAAACACTGGACAGAGTTGTCCTTCGTTGTGATACACAGAAGACTGTTCTTATCTAGTGAAAGTTCCTTACTTTGCAGGGAGGAGGCAAACATCCCACGTTCACGTGCCTCACCTTTGAAGCGTTCCTCTTCCAAGCGTCCAGGGTTTGTTTTTTGGTTTTCGAGTAACTCTTCTTCTAAAAGCCTGTGGTATTTCTTGCTTTTCATGAGACTCCATTGGCTTCTGCTTATCTTTGATTTTATTAAGTGGCATTGAAGACATGTCTTGCTCCCTTCGTGAAACTTATCTCAGTTCTTGACCTTTTCCAACATGGGGTCAGTAACTTAGTACATATCACAAAAATACTTGTTCGCATAGGCTTCTAGTTCTTCAGAGAAGAGTGTAACATCTAACTTCTTGAAATGCTTTCTTCTGTAAGGAAGAGCTGAAGGTAGGTTTATTTCATTATCCAGTCTTTCCCTTTCCCTCTTTCCATTTTTGGCAGTAATGTCCCCTTTTTCATTTTCTTCCCTTTCTTTCCTGTTGCCACCCCCTGAGGGGGGATACAGGTGTGGCAGAGATTCATTGTAAAAAGGACTGGGTTGATTTGGAGGGAAAAAAAAATCTCTTATTATTCATCTGATAGAAAAATGTCTGGATGAAACATGGTGCCTCTTGCACTTTTATATGTCAGACCCAAGTGTGGTTACATTTGAATACCTTTTAAATATATCTCAGAAATGTTTAGTACTTAACCACAGACATTTGAAGTTCCTCTCTAGCATTTGGTTCCAATGTGAAAGAAAACCTGCAAAATACCTTTTTGCGTCATCTAGTTCATCATTTGCCTATACAGAACCGTCTCCTACAGTGTGTAAAACGTTTTAGAATATGTAGTTCAAACATCAGGCTTCTGTGGCTTCTAGGGTAGAAGATGAAGCCATTCTTACCCTACTTGTAAAAGTCACTTGCTGACATCAAGTTCATTTGACCCGTTCTTAAGGGCTTACTTTTTAGTGTACTTGTCGTCTTTTCTTTCAGCTTGCAGGATGCTTCTTGGACACTTTAATCATACTGGCGCCTTAACAGTTTCCAAAATTCTCAAAACGGACCTTTCTCCATTCTGTCCATGGTGCTTGCAATCCTATAGTTGCTTATGGTTGCTGATTGTTGGTCTTACACCATGTGATGTCATAACGCAAAGTGCTTTGAGAGAGCATGTCATAGGCAAGACCAGTGAAAGTGGGCTAGCATAAAAACTGCCAACATGATCACTGAGGACAACAAAATTGCTATTGGAATTGGTATTGGCGTTTGAGAACTGATGTAATTAAATCAGTTCTGGAACTAAACTAGAAGATTAGCAGTGCGTTGATTGTCTGACATTTTAGTGGCATACGCTTACAACATGCTTAGTACCAGTGTTCAAATACATCTTGTTAAATTATAATCAGAATATCATAGCTCCCTCTTGAAAGAGCTCTCTTGGCTAGATTCTAAATTCCAGCATGAAACAATACACATGGAAGCTTCCTCCATCCTTTCTTGTATTGCTATTATCCTTGGTTTGCCTTTTAAACCTCCATTTTATTGCTGGACATACCATCCTGAGAGATACCTGCTGTCTTGATTGTGAAGACTAATCTGCCATGTACAAACTATGAAATCTGTACAGGATGACTTTGTTATTTGGTTGGGGTTTTTTGGTGGTTTGTTTTTCTTCTTTTTTTTAAGCACCAGAATGTGTTTTGGGAACAATTTTTGATTGTGAAGCAATTAAAAATTGAATCTGCAAAACAAAAATGTAAGGGGAGAATCCTAGAAAACTTACGATTTAGCTGCTTCTTTAGCCTTTCTGGAATTTATCTTCACCTCTATTTGGAGACTAGCGAGGGACTGAAAGTCAACAGAAAGAACCTTGTTAAGGTGGAGAAGTGCATCTGGAGGAAACATACCTCTTAAAACTAACTGTGGTTAGTTGTCACAGAGGATCTTTCTTCTGACTTCCGTTTTTTTTTCTTAGCGGAAGAATTTGGGAAACCAAACTAAAAAAGGTTGGCTGTGAGATTTATTTTTTTTAATACGTGCGTGCATTTGTTTTCCTACTTAGAAAACTGTCTTGAAAGTTTCTGTTTTCTTGGTACATAGTTTAGTAGCAGTGTTACGCTCTCTTGAGTAGCTTACCTCTTTTTTTTTTTTTTTTAATCTTGGTACTATAGCCAGTTGTCATGGTCTCTTCTAATTTGATTGTCAGATCTTCTCAGGTGACCAAGTCTGCCTGAAACTTCAAAGATCCTTGTTTAATAGGATGAGGAAAACAAATTTTCAAGATAAAGCACTGGAAGGGCACTCTTTGACTTGCTGAAGACTTGAGTGGTCTTCATACCAAAAGGCAATTCCAAAAACCATGCTCAATTAGCAACCAGTGACTTAAGGGGTTGCTGGTTACTAAAGGTTGGACATTTATTTCTGTAGTCTGCCACGTTAACAAATGACTGCTGTTTCTGAGGCTGAGTTGGGGGAAAAAAGGTCTTGCTTTTGTCCATGAAATTCTTAGCAGTACTTGCTTGGAGGTCTAGGTTGTCCCTTTTGTACTTAACAGTATTTGATGTTTCATTTTTGCCTTGTCTTTTGTCTTCTAATTTTCCATATCTTTGGTAGAGATGCATATCTCCTATTTGCTACTTGCTATTTCTACATGGGGATTTCAGTAAGCAATCCTTGAACTTGGTAACTACTTAGACCTCTTGAGAGCAAAAGACATTCTGGTTTAAAAAAAAAAAGACATAAGGAGCAACATTAGGGTTCATTAGCACCGCAGATTTTTGGTTTTAATCTTAAAAAATGAAGACTTAAAGAAAATGATGCTTCTCAGTGGAGTTTTTGTAACAGGAGTCCTTGTTTGTGAAGAGTGCTAGCATTCTGCCAGCTTACCTGATGATAATAAAATAAGTAATTTACTTATCTTCAAAGTTTGTTAGTTCAGGATTCCTTAAAGAGAATGTCTCTGTCTTCCTCTTCTTCACGTTCTGACTTAAAAACAAAAGACACCCCCCCGCCCCAAACCAACACAAACCCGCTCACTTCAAACTCAGTTTTCTCAATGTGAAGCATTGGACAGCTGTGAAAGAAACTTAAAGCCTCTAGGGAATTACATGCATCCAAATATCCAGTCTAGTGGCTGTCCCTAGACTAGGTACTATGTTAGCTAATCTTAGTTTCCAACCCAAAATACTTACATATGTTCCAATACACTGGGTAGAAACTAAACAAAACCAGTATTTATTTACTTAATTTTTTTTTTACTTCTGCAGAACAAGCCAGCGAAAACCACAATAACTGACTTGTATGTGTTATAATGGTACTGTGAGTTAGTCCTTACATAAATGACTGTTTAATGTACATGGGTCCAATAAAGGTGCAGCATACCCACGTCAGGTTTGTATAGTGAGCCTGAAAAATAGATACGCACATCCTACTGGTCTTTGAAGGGATGTAGGACTGGAGATAAGCTTAATAATCTCATCCTTTGCCTGTGATTATAGGCTTTGGTAACTGCTATGGAAGGTCTAGTACTTTTCAGGGTTTTTTTTTCTTGCTTCTGAACTCCTTTGTTAAATGAGGTACAGGCCCTTCTCTAGTGACCTTAGCCTTTTAGAAAATAGCTGCCCTTTAGCACTAATGCTTAAATGTCAAATTGAAAAGTATTGCCTTGCTAGTTACCTCAGTAGGTAATGTTTCAGGTTTTTAGTAAGAGCCTGAAGCCTGCAGTCCCTCAAGTTCTGGAAGAACTGCAAAAGTGGATTTGAGCCTGTCATGAAGCATATGATTAGTGTGTTTGAAGTCATACTCGAACAAGGAAAAAAGCGTATGCCGTGCACTCTTAAGCTTTTTGACTGTTGTATATGGTAATTTATCTGAAATTCAAAGCTAAGTGACTTCATTTTTTTTTACATTATGATTACAGTGCTGTACTGCAGTCAGTTTACCAGATAGTCCTTGCTCTATCCATCATTGGGCAACTCAGAAATAGAATGCAATAGATACAAAATTATCAGGCTGTCCCTGAGGAAGAAATACTTAGTGGGTGCCATCTAGTTCTCAAACCAAGTGTGGATTGTCTGCCACTACTATATATTAAAAGGTGTCAGGCAGACAGGATAAAATTTGGTGCTTAGAAGTACTCTTCAGAACATAACAAATTTCATTCATATTCCTTTTTTCTCAATCAATAGCTGATCGTGAAGCCAGTGGCACTTAATTTATGCATGAAGTAAACTAAGGCAAGACTATATGTGCAGTTGTTGTTCTTGTTCACTTTGTATTGAGTGGGCAGTGCACATCAAAGGAATAGAACTCTCTTTATTGTGAAGTTTTGGATTATTACGCGTTTCCCTACTAAAAGGTGGATGTAAGGTCTTGTTCTTGGACTGATGTGACCAATTAGGTGGAATCAGTCTGGTTTTAATGTCCTGTATGTTCTGAAATTGAAAAATTGGAATCTCAAAAGTTACTTTTCTGCCCAAGGACTTAAAAATATTTCAGTTTTGATCTGTCTTTACTACAAAGGTGGCAGCAGCTCTTCTTCTAGCTGCAGTAGTATCTCTGGTGAACTTAGAAGATGTTTGTTTGGGGTATAAATTTGGTGAAGTACAAGAAAGTATATAATTGAGTAATAAGTAACAATAGTAGTAAAACATACTTTCAGTCCTCTGCTAAGAAATTGAAGAAAAAACCACCAATTTTTTAAAAAAAAATCTGTAATTTGCTGTATTCCATAATTTAAGGCATTAGGAGAGCTCTTCGATAAATCTGTTGAGGACTAATTGTATAGTAGTTTATGTAGGTTCTCCCTAGCTGAAGAACAGGGGGACTTCCTCTTCTTGGGCAACTCTGTCTTAGCTTACTTGTCAGAAGTTTCCACAAAGCAGGAAGTGTTCCCACAAGTCGGGACGTAATTGACAATATTTGAATGAATGACAGGATCTTAACTGATGCAATTATATGCCTCTTCCTAGATTTGCATCTGGGAAGGAGGCAAGACATTGCATATCGTTTGTGGTCATGCTTTCTAGTGAGTCCTGTGGAGTTTTCTACTTGCCTGGACTCAAGATGGAAGAAATAAGCTGGGTTTGACATGCATTTCTAGGGGGAAGGAAGGAGAAGGGGTGGGGTACAGTAATCAGCGTTAAGGACATGGGGAAATTTGGACAAGCAGCTGGCGTTGGTAACCTTCTGCCTTAACTGGTCCTTTTAGACAGAAGAAGAGCAGGCAATATGTGAAACTCATTCACCACAGCACTAGGGTTTAATAACTCCTTGTCAGAAAGACCAAAGAGGTGTTTGGGGATGGGGTGGGACAGGAGGTGTTTTTCTAGTGTGTGTATATCTGCAGTAGGCTTGTTTTGTATTTTACTAATAAGTGTTTCTCTCTTCAGTACAAGTGCCTTCAATCTTAGTAATACTAAGTTGAGAATTTCATTCACTTCCAATTATCTTTCCTCCCATATTGCTGTCAGCCTTTCAAGAATGAAGGCATTGTTACTAAAAAGGATGTTATGTAAGAACGGTTTCTTAATCACTTTCATAAATTCCACTGTTTGAAAAATGACTTATTCAACGTTGCTGGTGTTAGAATTGTTGCTTTACTTTAGTTTGCGGATGTGGTATTACATTATAAAGTGTGCATGTAAATGCAGCTTTTACGAGATAACACAAAAGAGTTCAGTTTTCATTTAGAACATTTGTTTTATATTGAGGCTAATGCAGTAAATATTTCCTGCAAATGAGGAAAAGACTACTATCTAAATCTACTACTGTATTATTTAATGAAGTTGGAGATAACACTCTAAAGATGTAATTAAATTTAATTTGCTGTTAGAATAATGGTAGATAGTTTTTTATGTGAGACTAGTACTACTGTAGTTCATTCCTAAATATTGTAACTTTTAGTGATTTCAGGTGGTGGTGGTTTGGGGGTTTATTTTGGTAGAGAAAAATAAGCCCTCCTACAAAAAGAGAAAAGCAGTCTCAGAAACATCTGTTGGGAATACTTTCTGGCTGAAGTTTGCAAATACCACAAAAATACTGTGCTGCTTTTGAGTATTTTGGAAGTTACCCTGGGGAGAAAAACACTTGCCATACTGAACTAGTTCAGTTCCCCGAGGAATATTTTTTTTTTTTTCCTTTCCCCCTAGACAGTACTCTCAAAATCTGCACTCAGGTTCTCTGCTGGTCCACTCTCAGGTTGCTCTTCTGATCAGTTTGTCACTTTCAGCACCCAAATACAAATAAAGAAGCTCTGGGAGATGAACACTTTACTGTGCAAACTTAGCCAAAGGTTTGCCCAGAAGGTGAATCTGCAACAACAAATGAAAGGCTTTCCTTTTGAAGCAGTTATCGTAAGGGATAAGATCATAAAGCATGAACACAGGCAGTGTGTTTTTTAATAATAGGAGCTTACTGGATTCCTTAAGACAGTATTGAATTTATTCATATATAGCCTAATTACCATAAGCAAACAAATAAAAAACCCTGTAATGGTTCTAAAGCGAGCCTAAGCTATGAAACTGTTCTTAAGGTTTTTATTAGAACAATTTGTTCCTAGTTCTTTAATTAAACTAATTAGCTCTTTTAATTAACTTCTAAAAGTTTAATTACAGTATGTTGCAATATATATCAGACATTTTCAAAGGGTGAATTCAGATTTGAGGTGCTTCCCTTACTAACTTCTGAGTAATATTAAGACAGCATAAAGAGATGTGGTGGTTTGTTTTGGTTTGTTGGGGTTTGGGTTTTTTTTGGTGTTTTGGTTTTTGTTTTGTTTTTTTTTTTTTTTTTTAGGATGCTATAATTCTAAGGCAACTTAAACTTCCTAGCCTAAATTCCATCTTTCAAATATTTTAGGTGTTTTGTATTCTAAATTGAATCATGAACAATTTGTCTTTATGCATAAACTGCCAAAGAACTGGAAAATTTTGGAATTTTTTCAGATGTGTATTGGTGCTTATTAGTTTATTTCTTCTCTTTTATAGCACTCTTTCAGCCAGTAGCTGTAGGCTCTCGAGAATTTGAGGATATTGTGAAGATTCTTCATTCATCTTACTTGGAACCAAGTTCAGTGTCCAATTTTAATTACAAGAGAGCCAGCTTAGTTCATAGTGAACTGTTGGAAAAGGAAGTGAGTATATTTGTGGCTTCTCTTTATGAATAAGGTACAAGTCAAATGAAATTTAATGTTTTTTCTGAGTCTAGAGGCAAAGACCTGGAGATTATTTTCTACTTATGTGCTTTATATTTAATTGCAAACTCACATCCCCAGAAGTGTAAGCAGCTATTTTTCAGGCACGTTTATTACTGCATAGACATAAACCCTTGCCTGCCAGATACTCAAAAAGACTAAAAGAAAAATTGTATCTGGCACCACTTGTCTCTGTGCATTTTTAGTTTTCAAAAATTATCTTAATTTTTATGTATTTTTAATAACCTAGAAAGATGTCATAGTGTCTTATTTGAAAGGCCTGATGCTTCCTGTGAAACTTAAGGTTAAAATATTTTTCTGATACTAAGTTTACATAGTCTCTGTAACTTTGTTGTTTTCCAAAAAGCACCTAAAAGAGTTGATTACTTGAACTAGTAGGTGGAGCAGGTTTGTTGAAGTGCTTCTGCTGTACCTTATCTGCTGCCTCTTAAATCCAGCCTTGGCTTTCTTTCATAACTGTGAAATAAGTTTTTGGTGCCAGTGCCAAAAAGCTTAATGTATGGAGTAATCAAATATATAATTGGTTTGCTATAATTATTATCTCAAAACTGTAAGGTAAACTCTGAAGCATTTTTTTTTCTGCTACTCTAACACTTATGACTCATGGTTACAGCTAAGGAGTATTGCAACTGATGAAAACCACCTCCGTAGCAGTGAGGTGCAACTGCAAAAGTACATGCAGAATGTAAGAGATAATGGTCTGTTTCCTAAAGAGGGAAAAAGGCTTATGTCTGGAAATTCAAAGATGATATGGAAGGTATTGAGCTGGATGCTTCTAGATAGTTATGCTACAAAGAAAAATACTAAAATATAACTGCACAGGTTTGTTTGAAGAGTGTCTCTTCCTTAAAACAACAAACAAACAAAGAAATCTTGGGGCAGATTAAGCCAATGATATTTCCCATGGGTATAATGTTTTTGAAATTTAATTTTAGTATACTATAGTTTCATCCAAATTGGCTTTTGATTATTTTTGTACACTTGGATCTGCTAACATAGATGGGGTCTTAAAACATTGACCCTGGAATGTGACAGCAGTAATCTGTCTACATTATTTCTATAATAATAGTTCACAGAAAAACGCAGAGAGATGAAATTTGATGGTCGTCTAGAAAAAGAGCTTTCTGAAACCTATGCATTTCTGATGGTTGATCGACCTGAGGTAAGAAAACAAAACTGCATATAAAATGCTTTCTCTTCTTTTTCAGTTAAGAGGTTTTGTTGTTTTTTTTTTTTTAAACTGAGTGTTTTTATTGACACACTTATTAATCTTTAAGTTATTTTTGCAAAATTCAGCACTGAAAAGTGTAGAAGGATGGGAAAGAGATATGATATGATGTCACCATTTAAATCCTTTATTCCCTTCTATTTAAGGTACTTCATTTACATATCTCTGTAAAATACCTTCTCTGTTTTAGGCTTTGCTGTATAAATAAAAGGATAGATTTTCTGGATGGCATGTGGGTTTTTATTGGTTTTGTGGGTGGTGGGTTTTTTTTTTTAATTGAAAAGTAATGCAGTTGGGTATTGGTGTGGTGTTTTGGGTTTTTTTTTTTTATTTTGACTCAAGAAGAGGTTATCTTAAGGAGAAGGTAACCTGTAATATTAGAAAATGGACCTTCTGTGTCTCTTCTTTGATCACATGTTTTTAATGAAAGTGATGGAAAGGGAATTTCTGTGCTTTTCCTGCTATTATAGAGCCAGGACTTCTTAAATTTTTAATCATTTGGCAGTTTACTTCTGCTTTGTGTATTAAAAGCAAGTAATGTTCATGAAGTGTGTTTAAGGTATAGGGAGGCTGGGGTTTTTTTTCAGATACTGGTGAATCTGTGTAACTGCTTCATACTGACTGTTTTGACTTGCACAGTTTATATAGCAATTCCAACTAGTCTTACCACTGGGTGGTTTTGTTTGTAAGGGGTTTGTGGGGGGGTGTTTTGGGAGTTTTTTTAGCTCAATCAAAAGTCTGTAATTGTTTCTCACTGTTTGTTCTGTTCGTATTCTGGCTTTCCTGATAGACTTGTCTAAAAAAATGTCTGTTCTGTTTAGATCCAAAGCATATGCGAAAAAGGGCTGCAGGTGGGCCACTCCAAAATAACGATTCTCGGCAGCCCTTCCATGGGTAACTATCTTTTGGTGATATGTGCTGGTATTATTCAGTATGAGTTGGCAGATAATGTGATGCAGCTGTGTAAACTTTGAGTCCTTTTTCTATCACTCATTGCAGGAACATTACAGCTAGGTATTTTTAGCAAAGTAGATTGTCATCAGAACATTATTTCATAACTCTGTTTTTGACTAGTTCATTTAAATTCTTTTCTCAAAGGGAAGACCTAGTTCTCATTTTGACTTAAGTCAAACCAATATATTATGTCCTCCCAGTAAAACTCAGAGGCCAAAGAACTAATGCAACTTATGGCTGTGTGCTTCTCTGTGTTTGTACATACATATATGCATGTATATGCATTCAGAAATAGCTAATGGAAATAGTAGCTCAGCTTAGTATTGGTGTAGATAGAACTAAAGTTCTTGAATCCACAAATCCAAGAAGTGCATAGATAAATTGGAGACTTGGAAGAGTCACAAGGTGTTAAGAGATTTGAAAGTCCAAGATGCAAAAGTTCCTTTTGCAAAGCTTTTCAAATAGAAAACTAAGAAATAATTTTGCCATGCTCTGTAAGATTAGCATGATACAGAGGTACCAGTATGAATGTTGAAAGCAGAACAGATGTGAGGGTGGGGGGAACAAAGGTATATGAGCATATAATTTTTTTACTGTTTTAGCCGGTAAAGGTTCTGGAGCAATTTATCAAAGCAGTTACAGACTTGGAATGAGAGGAACCTAACCAAAATGGATGCTTTTCCAAGTACCTGAGGTCAGTTGCAGTTATTTGATCTGAGGTAGTCAGCTAGACCAAGACATGACGGTGTGTGTTTGAGGCCTTCAAATCTATGAAATTATGGTTGAAGTGTTGAAAAGCGAGAAATTATTTTACCTTTCCACTTGAGTTCAATTCACGATTCCAAACCAGTGTATTTTTGTCAACAGTGTAGGATGAAAGATTGCTGAGGATGCCAGTGGTTTTTTGCCTTATTTCTCAGTCATACCTTCACTGCTTATCTTGACATTGTGCAGTGGGACATAGTACAGAAGGACCTTAGCTGTTTAAAAAAAAAAAAAAACAACACAAAAACAAACAAACAAAACCAAACAAAAAAACCCCCTGAAAGTAGTATTTGTATAGCCTTTGAGCAGGGCTTGTCCTCTTGGTCACAACGCTTTCGGTAATGTAGGTGTGCTCCTCTCAATATGAGCTAATGTCCATATTCTGCTGTGGTATTTCATACTGCAGATGGTGCAAGTAAACATTTATTCTGCTATCTTGAAGTGGTAAATTGTGAACATGCCCTTACACTTTCCTCTGATCATATTCCAAAAAGATTGTTGTATCTTTATTGTTTGGTATACATTCAACTTTAATCCCATGTAATGCTTCTTAAACTTCTGATAATGTTTTAACATTCAGCATAATGCAGTTTGTTTTGTTTTTTTTTTTATACTCAGGTGTATATATCTCCAGGTACGCTGATTTATTGCAGCCTAATCCTCTAGAAGCTGGAGCAACTGGAGATGTGATTGTTTTTAAAATAATAAAGGTAAATTTATCCTTCTTATTCTTGAAGGGTTATATTGCTTACTGATAAAATAAAGGTGGTTTTAACCTAACTTACTGAACTTCTATTTATGCAATTACCTGCTTATAGAGAAACTAGAACCCTACCAGGTTTAAAATCTGATGTTGACACTGAGCTTAAATAAAGCATAATAAATTTTTATAAATGGCAAAAATGTCTTGTTTTCCTTGAAAGTATGAAAATAATGTACTTGTATAAATGGTTTTTTTAATGGCCTGTTTTCATTTCCCTGCTCTTACTTCCTTTGATACTTGAAGCATTTGTCAGTTTTTGGGAAGAAGCTTATGCTTACAATTCTGCTTTATTACAGGGAAAAATGAAAAGCATATATGACCACATCGGTATGAAAGCAATGGAATCAACAGTAAAGAGTGCATTAGATCCAACGCCAAAGCATGAGTGTCATGTTTCAAAGAATGCAAATAAAGTAACCTCCTTGTTGGCTTATCGAGCCTACGAACTTACTCAGGTAGAGGAAATTTGAGCATGCGTTAACTTTTATATAAGAAATTTATAAACAGAACTTTTGAAATGACGGAGATAAAATCACTGAAGATATAACAAATACTGAGCATGTCCTGTAAAGCTGCAGTCTGGTGTATGTTTAGCAGTAGCCCACAGACGCTTGTATTACAAATTACGGAACAACGCGTCAGCCTCTCCTGTTTCCCTTATATATACCTGGACCTGATGGATAATAGCTAGGGAATGTACATGTGGACTGGAATGTAGGCTGGGGAGGAGAAAATATGTGGAGTTTGAAGTGTAAAGGTAGAACTGGGTAGTAGGCATTAAGGCAGGCTCCTCTGGGCTAGGAAAGAACAATGTGGTGGTTTGGGGTTTTTTTGTTTTGTTTTTTCCTTCTATCTTTTGTTTCCCTTATCACATTCTCAGGTTTGGAGATGGTGAGGGAGGAGAGAATGGAATCGGTTCCAAGCATCTCTGTTCCTCCAGCTGTTCCATCTCTTTCTACAGTAATCTGTTGCAGTCAGATTATTCCATCAAGTCCATAGATTTCAGGATACTTACTTGAACACATTCTTTTCAGTATTACAACTTCTTTTACTTCTGTAAATCAGTCCTGGGCACTGAATCAGATGGCTAGAAAATGAATGTATGTTTTCATTTCTCATTACAAACTTGCCTGAATTAACGTTTTTCTTTAACATTAGAATTTTGTGACAGAACTAAGGATGGACTCCAAAACTCATAGCAGTATTTACTTTGCTCAGTGAATTTTTTTTGGGTTTTGCCCTTACCTCATCAAGAATATACTTTGAAATAAATGTTCCAAAATTATTTTTTCATTCTTGATTAGCTCCTGAAATAGTGTCCATCCTGTCAGTGTTCGATAAAGGAGGGAGGAGAAGGTGAAAAAATTACCTTAATTGATTGTGTTATAAAGTACAGATGAGAAGGGCATTTAAAAGCTTCTGTATTTTAGGCATCAGCTTTTGAAGAAATAGGCTGTTGGTAGAAGGAACATAAATGTGATTTATTATAGTAACTCATAGCTTGTTTTATATAGCAGTTAATGTTTGGCATAACAGGTTTTAAACAAACCCCTTTTGTTTATCTAAATAATCATGAGGTATATTTTGTAAGCTATTACTGTGAAACAGAGTACACCTTTCAGTACTGGATTGTTAGTATATTTGCAAAATACGGTTTACCAGACTTCTGATTTAACATTGGTTCACTTCTTTTTCAGTACTATTTTTATGAATATGGCTTTGATGAGATAAGGCGAAGACCAAGACATGTTTGTCCTTATGCTGTGGTTTCATTTACTTACAAAGATGAAATGGTGCAAGTACCAAAATTCTTGCCCCCATCAAGGTAAACTACAAATTGGGTTTTGGAAAGACTGCATGCGGCATGAAGAATTCATAGCTCTTGGCAGGAGCTTCAAATTGAGTTAGATGAACAGTGCTGAAATGAATGGACATGTCACAGGGACTTAGCATAAAAAATACTTCTAATGCAAAGCAAGAGGTGATAAAATTGGTTTTATGCAGCAGGCTGGCTGCTGTAGGAAGCAGTTCCACTGCTCTTTTCACCTACTGACCTTGTGCTGAGGTGGAATCCCTGTATAAAGTGGGTTTTTTTTGCTTCAGTGAGGAAATTCACAGACATAAAAATGTTCACAGCGTTGTCTTGCTTGGTATTCTAAAAAAATGTTCTGTGTACATTGTCTCTGAACTCTTCACTGGTGTTGCCTTATTGCTGGTGAACAGAATATGTAAATGGGTAGTTGATTATAGAACCAATATGTTACCTATCCTGATAGGAAGGCATCCAGATGTGGGGACTGTACTATGTAGTGCTAAAAATAGTTATCAAGATATCTGAAGTAGCACAAGATGCTGTAGCAGTGATAGCTTGAGGTTAGACAGTGAATTATCAGTGTTGCTATTTTGTTAGACTGATAAAATACCCTTAATGTAAAGTTTAGTGGCCAGAAGTTTCTCTTTCAACCTAGTCATTCTATCTTTTTTCTTTTTGTTAGATCAAACAGTTTCAACACAGATAGAAGTACAGGTAAGAATGAGTTGAAATTTACTGCTTTTATGATACAGGCATGGAAGGTTTCGAACTCTTTTTCCCCATGTAGTTTTGTTTGTCTTTAACTGGAATGATTGCTTAGTTATGCAGACCGTATACCTGAGTTTTATCCTCTGCCATACTGATTGCAGGCATTTCTTCCTGATACTGAATGATCGAACAGACACCTTAATGTGCATCTTCTTTTATCAGAACAAACCAGAACTGAACAAAATCAAAAGTCTTTTTTTCCCCTCCTTTTCTACTTATAGCGTAGTAAGAACTTGTCTTCTGTTCCCAAATCTGCTGTTGAATGGCACCTCAAATAATATGATCCTCTGTCTTGCTTTTCTTTTGAACCTCATTCAAGCAAAATACTCATATGTATGAAAGTGGTTGACAGTTAAGGTAAGGAAAGAGGATGTCATTCCACGGATGTTGGCATGAAGGGCATCTTTATGTAGACAGGTACAGGTAACATACCAACCTCCTTTACTCTGTTCAGAGCAGGTTAAAACAAGATAGGATTGTAAACACGCTTTCTGTTACCTTTTAACTTGCTGTTTAACATATTATTGTCTGGTCTGGTATTAGTATGATATTTTCCCTAAATTGCTTTTGGAGATTCAGCAGCCTCTTTACTGCCATTTCCTTTCAGTCCCACCTAGCAAGTGGTTTCGCTTAGTCTGTCTTTCTCCATCTTAATTTAGATAAATCTAACTATACATTATGGAGGGGACAGCTTTGGAATAAAGGCAAACTTCTGTGCCATGTTTCCTTGAAATCAGCAGCATGCCCTTTCCTTCCATGCAAGCTGTGAGTATTACTGTTTAAAGAGTCAATTTAAAAATATTGCTGTGTTAAAACTCTTTCTGGTAGAGACTGATGAATTTTGGATATATTCAGATGAAAATCTAAAGTATGCATTGACTAGACGCTTTAAATGCGTCAGACTAAACTCTTGAGTTGTGTGTGTCCAGAGCTTCTTTTAGTTCATGCACACAACTCTTGTCAGCATCTCTTGTTTGGTTGGTTGGTTGGGGTTTTTTTCCCTTTGAAGTGATACACGCTCCTTTGCGGGAATAAACACTATTAGCTCATGACATAGTCCAAGGAACTGATTTTTTAAGAGCGTGTATTTGATAGTTCTTATTTAGTCAATGAGGGTAGGGCTATGGGGGTGGAAAGAGGTCTTTATTTTTTTTCATCTTTTTTATTTCCTCTGTCTGTTTGGAAAGGGTGTTTTTTTTTTTTTTTTTTTTTTTTTTCCTCTCCCTCCCCCCACCTTCGTCGCCAGTCCTGAGAAGCTTGAAGTTGAAAAAGTTGTGAGCATTGATCAATTGAAGAAAAAAATTTCACCAGCATTGTTCTATAAAGAAACTTACCTAGGAGCAAAAGAAGGTAAATAATTCTAGCTTGATTTTTTTTTTTTTTTTAAATTCAGAATTTTAGAAAGTTTTTTGAATTACAGTTTTGTTTCTGTTTATCTTAACCTTCTTTTTCTACCCTTGTATCATGTCAGTGTTCAAGAACGGCATGTACTGTAGCCTTTATGAAGTTGTGGAGAAGTCCCGTTCTGGTAGTCACTTGGAGGGTTTACTTCAAAAACTAGAGAAAGAGAACCTTGTGAGTGTAACGGATTTTATTATTCCTGTTTTTAAAAATAATTTTACTAACTAGTAATTGAGGCATACTACAAGATCCATGATCTTGCTGGAATTCCTTAGCTGGCATATTCTTAGTATTGTATCAGGGCATTTGCCTGCCCATAATGGAGTTTAGCTTACAGATAGTAGGAGTATTTGTAGCGAGCAGACGTCTTTGATTGTTTGAAATGTTATACTTCTTTTGCTTGAAAACAGGTTCTTGTGAAACTACTTCTGGACAGAGGATTTCTTTTTCTTCTTTCTCCTTGGCAAATGACATCCCCTTATGGTATGCATACTCTCTATCTTCTGTTTTTGAGTTGGTTTGGGTGTTTTTTTAACGGGTTAGGTTTTTGAATACTTTTGAAGCATAGTGATTTTCTCCTTCTCAATTGATTTTATTTTCTTGTGTTCTAGACCACCAAACTGGACGGCCCCGCATGCTACATGCATTGTTTCTGTTTCCAGAACCTAGAGGTGTAATGAGCTCAAGTGAGTTTGTTCACTGTTGAGAGTGTTGTGTACGTGCTTATTTAAACATAGTTTATATTCTCTTGAAGTCTTTGTAGTGTTATAGCCTGTCACTGTAGGTTAGGAAAAACAGTTTGCATTGGTTACAGTCATGGTGATGGTGTTCAAAAAGTGTTTGTTTATTCACAATTATCACACTACATATTTTAGGTTTGTTTTTTAATATTTTAGAAGGCAAAACTTTGTTCAAATTTCTTGATTGTATATTCTAGTAGAACTGAGTGTCAGTATTCCAAGAGATCTATGCATTAGTAATAGCACTGCACTTCAGAGGTTTGAGGGCTTTCTTTAACCAAAACATTAAGGACAAGGCATCTGAAAGTGTTTAATGTACTTGTAATTATTTTTTTGTATTGGGCTATGCACCAAAAACTGAGTAAATGAGCAAAGAAAATATTGATGCAACCAGGTAATAAAAGATGACTGAAAGCACTTGGCTTTAGTAGAACTTTAATGCTTTCAGATGAGACTTTAAAGTTAATCTTTTACGGTTGAAATTTGTAATAAGTGCTACTAGCAGCAGAATGCAGTCCTTTTTGGCCTGCTGAGAGTTAGAAGTGATATTGTCAAAACATAGCTCTTTCCAGGCGTTTCATTTTTACAAAGAAGTTCTTGTTCTAAGTCTTGGCAGCTTCCTAGATTCTTATCTCTGTATTTCTTATTTTAATAAGTCCCTTAGGTTTTTCTTATTTAAGTAACAATTGTGAAAATTCAATCCGTTACGGATTGGGTAAGAGGAGATATGATATAAGATGACATTTCAAAGACTTATGAGTTCCAATTTCTGTCAAACACAGGGTTAATCACTGTTTTGAGTCTTCAGAGGTGCTTGAATGGTTGAATGGAAAAAAGTTTCAGTCTGTGATTGGAAGGGGGGAAGAGTGTGAGTAAATACAATAAAAAGACGATATAACTTAGAGCTTCCTTGAGCTGCTGTTTCAAGGATGTGGTAAAAGGATCTAACAGCTTCCCAGGACAGGGAAATGCTGCTCTTGGCACATGCTCCTGTTGCATCTCTTTGATTTAGTGAGATATATTGCTTTGCAAAGGAATGGAAAAAACTGTATAGGTTTCTGCTGTGTTACTAAGCTGAATCATTTTATAAGGGTCCAGTGAGCTTAGAAGCAGCACAGTGAACGCGTTGGGATTGCATAGGAAGGAGTAATGCTTCCCCTGTTTCTTGCAGGGAGCTGTTAGGCTGCTTCTTAGTAAACCTTAGTAAGCCTTTGAAGTGGCCTCCTTCTAGAAGGGTCAATAAAGTGGTTTAAATTGGAAATGATATATGTATCTAGGATACAGGTTACACAAAATTATGAAAATGAGCAGCTCATCATGACTATGAGTAGGTTGACTTTTAAGTAGGCTTTAAAGCTGGTTACTTCACAAAAAATTCCTTTCCTGGCTTTTGGGTTATTTTTCCACAGTCATTCCAAACTGTGTTTCACCAAATATGTATAATACAGAATATTGCTAACCAGTCATCATTTATTTATAGCTTTATGATTTGATTTTAATTATGAATTCCCTTTTCTCTTATGGCAGCACAAAAAAGTGTTCCATTTGGAACACAGAAAAATTCAACTACCATGGTGTTGCACGAAAATCAGGAAATCATTCCAGAATTCACAAAGTTTATTCAGTCTCTACACTTTGCTTTAATCCAATCTCGTAAAGACGCTACTGCAGACTTCAATGCTGTTGTGGAAAAGTATATAAATGAGTATTTGAAAAGATGCTGTAGTGGCTCTGGAAAATATAGAGAATTTGTATTACATCGGTATGAATCACGGTTGGATGACAAAAAATTTCTTTATTCTGCTCCAAAAAATAAATCTCATATTGACAGCTCCTTGCAAAACTATATTTTTGGTTGTGAGGCATATCAACTACCTGTTTCTAGAGCTAAGGAATTGATGGAGGGAAATCGGAAACTTCAACAGTTCAGTCCCATCTCAGATTATGAAGCCACAGAAGACGACTCTGATTTTGCCAACGCAAAAAGCGGGAAAAGAATCCGTGCAAAATATGAAGCCACTGCTGCGAAGCGAAAACTGCCTCATTCTGGAGATTATGATCCCGATAGACTCAAAGAACTTATTAACTTAATCCAGTGTAGGAAAAAAAATGTAGGTGGAGATTCAGAGTCTGAAGACCTTAGAAATAAAAGTGGTCTGAAAAGGAAGCTGGAAAAACAGTCTGAGAATCTGCGGAAATACTTAAAAATGAGTGAATCTTCAGAGAATAGTTGTCAGTATGAAGGTAAGAAAGTCTTTGTCTAGAGTTGCTCTTTAAACATTGTAATTCAAAGCATACTTAACATTTAATCTTTATAGATTGAATACATTTTGCATACTGTGGATATTTTAATGCATGGTAGTTCATTTAAACATTGCCCTGAGATCTATCAATAGAGATGTTTATTTTTATATAGGTTGCCTCTTTCTAGAAGACAAGTTAACAGGATTTGTCATGGAAATTGCTTTTGTTCTGCCTCTTCGGAAAGAAGGCAGACTTCCAAAGAGTTTCCTTAGCTGTGGAACTGTCCAAAGACTTTCTAATACAGACCATTAAGCAGACTTGATATCGTAATGTCTTCTGCAGTGTTTGACTTTAGGCATAGCTGTAATTCTTTATGGCTCCAATACCCTATATAGTACCTAATACATTTAGATAAATTTAGATTGAACTCCTAAGCATGAGCACAGTTAAGTTCTGAAATAGCCAGTAAAGTGTGTAGTGGGACAAAGGAAACAACCAAATAGTATTAAGATTGAATTACTCTGTACATGAAATTATCTACATCCAAACCTCAGATAATTATCACAAGTGTTATCTGATACTTACTTAAGATCTGCCAAAAAACCCCATTTGATTTCTGTTTCCCTGACCCTTTTCTCAAGGCAATGATACAGGCCCCTTTCAGAAGGGGGAAAACTGGGGAGAAGGATGGCACAAAGAAGAGGGGGAATTACATCAAGCACCAGTCATTCTCATGTGTACATGAATCACTTTGGAAGATGAAGTGGCTGATCTTAGGAATAAGTTTTCCTTTTGAGAGGGACAAAAGATACTGGCATGTGTGGATGGAGGAGACAGAGGCTAGGCTACATGCTAGATCTTGGGATTCCTGCTTGGAAGTCTGTGAACCCTCAGGGTCGTCTTATGTTGATTGTTAATGTAAAATGAGTGGATGCATTTCTACCTGGCTGTAATCAGAACACTGTCTATTTAAAACCAAATTTTTACTTAACTCCTTCAGGGGTACTAAAACAGCACCATCTATCTATGGTTTCAATTCCATGTTTTTATATAACCCTAAAAGTAATTTGTCTTGCAAAAAAAATCTTACCTAAAATATTGTGAGCTTAAGTATCTAAACATGATTAGATTTCCATATATGATAAATGAGTTAGGGGTTCATCAGGTACTTAAGATAGTTCCTTGGCCTGTTTCTTTCCAAGAAGAATAAATACTTATGGCATTCACTCATCCAAGGGGATGAGTAGAAGAATCACAATCCTGTTCTAAAGTTATGTTTAGTATAAATAGGCATGGTAAAGTTTTAGAATTATGCTCAGCAGCTTCTGGAGCAACAGTGATATCATGGAGAGGAGTAAATATTTTGCTCAAACTAATCTTTTTCTCTCAAGAAGTGATGGAGAATTTTACAATGTCTCCATAAAATACATAGATCATAATATATGACTTCTATTAAAACATAAAATAGTGTGGTATTGAGTGACCTAAAAAACTGTAATTATTTATCTGGGGGAAGACTATTAGCTTTAGAAACTGCCCTTTTATCAACATCTACCTGTTTAAAAATTTTTATTAAGAAAATAAATGTATGTGTACTGTATGAATTGATGCTAAAAAGTGAGACTGTGGGTATGTGGTAGGTGTTGGGGGGGGCTGTCTGGTTTTGCTTTTATTTTAAAACTTAGTAATGGATTACTTTTCCCCTCCTCCCCCTACTCTAAGGGGGCAGAACCTCGGATTCGCCACACTCTGTTTTCTCAGTTAATACTGGTCTTGGTGGACGTGATACTGACTTGAGGCAGCAAGATGTATCCGACCCTGCTGTTACTGACACACATGGCCTCATTAAACTGCTTTTAGAAACACTAGCTAGTGCAGGACACTTGGATTCGTCGTTGGCACGGTCTGTAAATCAAGCTTTAGGATTAAGCACTGATGAAATTGAAGAGGATATGAGACAAAAATATGAATATGAATCCATTCCAGCACAGGACAAAGATGATCATGAGCTTCCTAATACTGCTCAGGCTGAAAATGTTAACTTTAAGGACCCACAGAGCCCAGTGATACTGGAAACTGATGCGGCATGCTTACCCTACCCTGTTGATGTTGATCTACGGCTTTCAGCTAATGAAGTAGGCCTTGAACACACGCTACGTTTAAAAGTAAGTGAAACTGCCATGTAGGTAGATGCTGATAGTGAATGTACTATTTCCATAAATATTATGAGATAATGAAAAAAGCATTCTATTTTTTTACATAGGTAAGCGTAGATAAGCACTAACTTTTCTGTGAAGAAGCTTTTCTGTTTGGTAGGAGCATATATGGAAACTTATTTAACTCTTAAGATGTGTGTTCCTGGTTCTTTGTCTACTCTTTCTGTAATATAATTAGGAATACCTGAAAGATGGAAAGTAACCATGGTCAGTCATCCTCACTAGCTTTACAGTAAGTGTCATATTCAGCTGCTCCAGCAATCGGCAGCAAAACTTCTGTCATTCTGTTGCTGAGTGCTGTATATGAGGTGTTTTTTCATGTTTGCTGAGACCAAAGCCTTGCAGTTGTCTTCTGTCTCTTGTAGAAAAAAGATAATGTATTCTGACTCTCACCTTGCTTATGGTGGTGGGTTATTTTAGCGATCTATGAAGTTGTTGCATGGAACAGGTATAGTGTTACTGTAACAGCTTGCATACTGCCTTCCATCCTCCTCCTCCTTCAGGGTTGATTCTTGGTCTGGCTAAGGTATTGATGTTTGTTTGAACCTGAAACACAGCAAGGAGAGATTTGAGAGTTCCTCATCATAGTCATTGCCTAGCTGTTGCTCTTCCTGAAAGTAGGTTATAAGGCAATAGTTGCTCTTCCATACGGACTCTCTCTCAGCAATGGTTGCAGGGCAGGCCATTAATGATTGTGTAATGATTAACCTTATAGACCTGATAGGTGGTTTGGATATGACAACTTGTCATGTTTATGAAATTCCATCTCGGGCACAGAAACAAGCCTTTTCTTGACCAGGCTCCTTCCAGATCGAAGTTGAGGTCATATCTTTCAAAGCTTATGCATCCAGAATTCTTCCCTCTTCTCCCCCCCCAAATGCAAACCAAAAATAAATGCATCAGTTGTAGGCTTTTTTTCAGCCTGTTGCTTTCTTGTCATAGACTCACAAGTCTATGGGGCCGGATGGGATCTACCCAAGAGTACTGAGGGAGCTGGTGGAGGAGCTTGCCAAGCCACTTTCCATCATCTATCAGCAGTCCTGGTTAACAGGGGAGGTCCCTGATGACTGGAGGCTTGCCAATGTGACACCCATCTACAAGAAGGGCTGGAAAGAGGATCTCGGGAACTACAGGCCTGTCAGCCTGACCTCAGTGCCAGGAAAGATTGTGGAGTGGTTCATATTGAGTGCGCTCAACAGGCATGTGCAGGTCAACCAGGGGATTGGGCCCAGCCAACATGGGTTCATAAAAGGCAGGTCCTGCTTGACCAACCTGATCTCCTTCTATGACCTGCTGGTGGATGAAGGAAAGGCTGTGGATGTCATCTACCTGGACTTCAGTAAAGCCTTTGACACTATCTCCCATAGCATTCTCCTTAGGAAGCTGGTGGCTCATGGCTTGGATGGGTGTACTCTTCACTGGGTAAAAAACTGGCTGGATGGCCGAGCCCAGAGAGTAGTGGTGAATGGAGTTAAGTCCAGTTGACGGCCAGTCACGAGCAGTGTTCCCAGGGGCTCAGTTTTGGGGCCAGTCTTGTTTAATATCTTTATC